AAAAGCGTAAGTCTCTTCCTTCACTCCAGATTTGTGTAACTGTACCCTCGACACTCGATGCGTTTAGACATGTGACTGCAGATTTGTCGCTATATCTATTAAGTAAGGACTGTAGGGAAACTGCTCCCTGCATGCGGATAATCCACCCCTATGACGTTTGTCTTCGCACAACATTGGCGTCGCTTGGCCCTTCAACGTTTGCCTGTGTATCTTCCCTAGCATATTTCTGAAGGCATTAAAATACTAGGCTCCCGTGGCGTTTTCACCACTACTAAATCTGGATTCCCAGTAACTTCGATGAGCATGCTGTTGCAATCGCCTTGAGCGGCTAGACTTATACTTGTTACGGCTGTGATCATGCCTGATCTAGCCATCCTCGGTGATGCCACGAACGGTACCTCTCCATGCGTGACGATTGGCGGCAGCGGATATGGAGAGCTCTACCCATTCTCTTCTCCAGCGCCGGAGACCGAAGGTCGAAGAACCACTCCCATACCCTGACGGACTGAGTCGAGTTTGGTTTTGAGTTGACCCCCTATTCCAACTAGGTAACAGTTTCAAGTCGAGGACAGTAGCACTGAGCTCTTGAGGTTGACTACGAAGAACGTATCCAAACCACCTCAGTCGTCTTTCCTGAATGGCCTGGGATATCCTTGTGCTTTTTTCTCAGCGAGTGTGGACTGTCTAATTTGTGACGAAGTCGGTGTACTTCACTCGAGGGATGCTCCTCAGACAGTAGTGGTCAGACTTTCAGCTTCCGTTCATCTTATACGCGCATAGTCCCACATTCGCATCCGTATAGGAGAACGGACCGCACAGATGCACGGTACATGTCGGTCTTTGTTGGAATCGAGATATCGCGTCGGGTCCATAGGCACTTCCGAAGGCTGGAGAAAACTCGTTGTGTTGCGTCAATTCGGGAAACAATGTCATCTTTACTCTGTTCATTTAGCAGCACCTTTGCTCCGAGGTATTTGAAACTGTCGACTTCTTCAAGTTGACAGCCACCAATCTCGAGGGCTGCCTTCTCTTGGGTAGGGATGCAGCATAAAAACACTTTGGTTTTCCCAGCGTTTATGGACAAACTGATCGATCTCGCGACCTCGCTCACCCCTGACGCAATAGACTATGGATCGCCAAAGCTCGAAGCTAGTGAAGCGAGATCATCGGCATAGTCGTTTGTGTGGCCAGAAAAGAGGCTTCAACCATGTAAGCACTGAACCGGTGTCCCTGAGGATTGATATTATGCTTATTATTGTTCCTACGTCAACATTATCGTTGCCTCTGTGTCCGCCACAATAATGGATATTGGCGGTGTTCGGCAAGAGAATTTTCATACCGGACTTCGTACAACAGTCAGGCGTGGATATATATGCAATCCTGCCCTTGTAGGTGTTCTGCGGTGTCATGGCGGAAGGGACGGTGTGTGTGCGAGTCAGTCACCTAGTTATTGTGCAGTAAGATCCCATTTTCGCTTATCCGGACATTTAATCATCCCAAATATATGTTTTTGAAGCCCTAGGATACATCTTAAATGGTGGCTATGCTCAAATGAAATGGCTATTTGGCCTGTCCGAACAAGCCCAGTTCTAGACTCGTGCATCTAGTATTATTACATGGACAGCAATAGCAGTTCTGAACATTCCATCGTAAACATAAAACCTTAACTGCCCATCCGAAAGTGTCTACTTGCCGGAAGGAAGGATGGTGAGTATCCTGCGAGGCCTACCGGTATCACGGGCATTTATTTAGTTGCCCTAACCACTTTATTACACTGACACAAGCAACCGCTTCTGGGAAGTCTACAGAAAGGAGAAGAATCTGCTTCGAGTTAGGGTATGATGTCTAGATCGTTTCAGGAAGGGGGATGGGCGGAAGTGTTCGAGGCAGCACCCGCTACTGCTCTGAGCCCTCTGATAGTGTCTAGGCCACCGGTAACCCACTGTTATACCAGTTCCTTTATTCAACCTCTGCATTTAAATACTGTGAATGATTGTATGTCTTTGAAGCCGCCGTGAGTACTGAAGCCCACAAGAATAAACCAAATACCAAAGTCAGTTTGCTGGTGAGAAGATTAGGTTTTTTGAGTCACCTGATGCCCCCTGGTGCCTGTATTCTACTGTATAACAGAGTAGGATCTTCGGTAGGCCCCGGACTTAACAGTAGATCGTGGTGTGTGCGTCGTGAGCCTAGACCATGCTGAGGTCGTGTGTGTGCGTGTGTCGTAGCCCATTGTTGGATCAGGAATCCCCGCCGGAATCTAAACTGG